TGTAGGCCTGTCACGATAACAACTTTTTGTTTTGCGATATATTGCCCCAGAAATAATTGCGATAAGCGATATTATTGTCATTTTAAAGTCCATTTTATGCCACTGAATATATAATCATAATGTAACAGCATAATAATGCAAGAAGGCCTACACACTTTCAAATGACAACAAACTTTTCATTTTTAAGAATATTTAGATCATGGAAATTAAGTATCAAAATATTAGATACCTTAAAAAACCTGAATAAATAGTAAATAAACATTTTCTAACAAAATAACTTGTATTGGGATTTTTCCATCTAACGTTACAGATTTTTCCCTGACCTTCTTTTCTCTGTAAATTAAGGTTTGGCACTATTGCTGAAAAACACAATTACTACTTAGCAGTCAGATGTCCGTATGCACAAAGGCACAGATCCCTAAACAAGACCATATCTGCAGATGAAACTTTTTTTTGTAGAAGCATTTTTTAAATTTGAACTAGCACCTCATGACTACACCATGTTATGTACAAGAAGCTGCAAAAGACACAGGCGCAAGTGGAATGTACAAAACATGGTGACATTAATTTTTAAGTAAATATAATGCCAGATGGCAGGATGGTGTGTAATGCATTATTTGGATAAATGTAGCCAATTTAAATGCAAATTAGGAGAGTGTGTTGTTGTTGATGGTGAAGTGATCTGTTTTATTTCCAGATGATGATAACCCTCCTGTCTCATTTGTGAAGTTTTCTCCAAATGGAAAGTACATTCTAGCTGCGACACTGGACAAGTAAGTGAACTCATCCCTCTAGTGACTGTTTATTTTTTCCATTCAGTGCAGTTTCTGAGACAATATTAATTTTGGAAAAACTGCAAACAATGAAATGATGCTTCTTCTTTTTTTTTCTCTCAGTACGTTAAAGCTCTGGGACTACAGCAAGGGAAAGGTATGTCATTGAAATACCATAAATGTTGACTGCTAATAACACACACATATGTTAACTCACCATATGTTAACACCAACTAGTGTGCCAGACCTCACTAGTTAAAGCGGCTTATAAATCAGTCAAATCATGTTTATTATATTTAAATGTAGTGTTTTGCACAGGTTTCTGTCAGGGTTATGTATAGGGCTAGGGGTCAGGTTGAGGTTATGTGATTAAAAAATATCACTAGCAATGAAAGTTCATTAGATGTTGTCACTAATATATTCAAAAAATATGTGTGTACCTACTTAACCATATTTTGGGGGACAAATTTGTATGCAGAAGTGAAACAAATCTGACAAAACCTCATTTTAGGGGTGTCCTCCTTTGTAAAAACTGTATAAAAATAGTGTTTTTTTAATTTACTTTTATTTTTTTAGGGTTATGTTAAAGTATTTATAATTAGCTGTATATAAACATAATACAAGTCTATGAAATATTAAGTTAATGTGTGTAGGTAATGTTCATGCTTTAACTGAACTATTGTAGCTTTTAATTTTAAATTTTTTTTTTAGTGTCTCAAGACATATACTGGACATAAGAATGAAAAGTATTGTGTGTTTGCCAATTTTTCTGTGACTGGAGGAAAGGTAGGTTCAGTATGACTTTGTCGAAGTATTTTAATACATAGGTATATAGTTATTTAGAGCAGTTTTTGAATAACCTGAATCCGTCTTGCTCTCATTCAGTGGATCGTCTCAGGCTCTGAAGACAACATGGTGTATATCTGGAACTTGCAGACCAGAGAAATTGTTCAGAAACTGCAAGGGCACACAGGTATATGACATTTGCTACACCTCCCAGACTCAAACACACGGCAGCCTCTTTGATTTTGTTAACATAAGTATGATGTATTTTTGTCCTTAGATGTAGTGATCTCGACAGCTTGTCACCCTACAGAGAACATCATTGCCTCTGCAGCCCTGGAGAACGACAAGACCATCAAACTGTGGAAAAGTGATCGTTAAGTTAAAGCACTGCACTTCAGAGGCTTTAGTAGAAACTTCAGAATGATGACTTCCAGTAGTGTCTGTCTTTTACAATGGTTTGATAGCACTTAGTGCAGGGTTATTATCTGAGAGATGGGCAGGTCCTGTCTGCTCAGAATAGCGACAATCTCACTCGAGCCTTTTCCCCTTAATATACTCTAATAATCTACTGTAATGTTTTCAGTTCATTTTAATTTATTACCGAAGAACAAATGTTTTCTATCAAATCATGGATTCAGTTGTTTGAATGGTGGTAAACATACCAAAAATGGATATATAAATGTTTTTAAGCAAGATAATTTTCAGGTCTTTTTTGCCATCAAATTATTGCATTTTTGCTTTTCATTTAAGTGTTTTGCAATCATTGATTATTGATATGTGAATTACCAATGTGCTTGGGATCCTTAAATCCTTTGTAAACATAATTTTCCACTATTTAAGCTTTGAATTTGAAGGCATAAATTAGTCTTCATGGCTTTGATCCATTGGAGTAGTAGGTACATTTCCATAAAATTAATATATTGAAGTCATCCTGTACTCTTAGCAGAAAAACAGCCCCAAAGCATAATGTTTCCACCTCCGTGCTTGACTGTAGGGATGGTGTTCTTGGGTCATAGTCAGCATTTCTCTCCCTTCAAACACAGCGAGTCGAGTTAATGCCAAAGAGCTCAATATTTGGTCTCATCTGACCACAGCACTGTCTCCCAAGCCTTCTCTGAATCTTTAAATGGGCCTGTACATGTGACTTCTTGAGCAGCGGGACCTTGCGGACGCTGCAGGATTTCAGTCCATTGCGGCGTAGTGTGTATGACATAAAGAGACTGGTATCAAACTTGGCTGAGAGCCTCCGGCTGGCGATGGCTCTTTCTCCAGAGAGAGTTTGATCAAATCAGAACTTCCTGTTTTGGACGACACTGAATTCATCTCAACTCAAAATCACTCCTGTTCATTTCCAGCTTTAATTATTCTTCTTCTATGGCAGAATTCCTATACTGGATCCATCCTGCCACATTCTTCCCTCGGCTCCGGCCTGATCTGGCTGGATATTCACAATCAACAAAGGTGACAAACAAATTCATAGAGGCAGCAAATGCCTCCCTGCATCGAAAGATAAAGAAGCTCCAGGCTCAAACTTTTGCAAACAAACAATTCAAAGGTTCACTGAGCAGAAGAATACAAAGAATCAAACACAAACATATTGCTTTAAACTACAACAATGGAAAATTCTCAAAGCATATATGTGTGTGTGTATATACAGTATATATATATTTTCCCCACTGTATATATAAATATATATATATATATATTGGAATATAAAAATCTATATAAATGTTATTGCAGCAATATTCTGCTTTATGAAAATGTTAATCTTATTTAATGTTTATATATATATATATGTGTGTATGTGTGTGTGCATCTGATATCATGTATAACACCATTTATTCATAACTCTCAAATAGTTATTTTGTTTGCTGAAGATAATATAAGTCTTTTTTACAATCTGAAATTTAATAGTCCTTTGAACAGACATAATATAGGACAATACACAATACACCCTCCATTTGTCTGGTAAAAAAACCAACTGTGAGCTGTCCTCAGCTCTCAGGTGAGGGTACCATGAAAACCAATGGCAGAGGAACAGAGAAGCCTTTGCACATAAACCTTTCACTCAGTCCAGGTTTGAGGGCACGGCTCCACTTAAAAATGAATATTTACACCAACAATGTGTACAATATAGAACAGACTAAATAATGACGTAGAGAAAAAAAATTACACTTTGTACAAAAATAGATCATTCTCTTAAAATGCATCTCTTTCATGTTTTGCTGACATGTCCTGTGATGGATTGGTGTCTCGCAGGGAAATACAGATGTCTGATAGCGGCACATCAGGATTGTAGCTGATATCAGATCAAATGTGCCCGGCTCCTGATGGTTTAACAAACCCTTTTTGACACAGTGCGAATCCAAGAGCGCTTACAATGTCTGTGTTTTGTCTATACCTCAGCAAAAGTGTCTTTAGTTCTTGTCTGCACATTCTAAATATGCTGGTTTTGGAGTAATGAAAGGCCAAAGATGTACAATGAGTCCACTGGTCTTCCATGACACCGATTCAAATTTCCCCCTGGTCGAAGCTTAAAAACATGACCACTAGAACTTCAGGTTGTGTATATCAATCACATAGACAGTATATGCTGTTTATGTGTATCTTAGGCTGAATACTCATGTTGCTGTGAGGCCTGGCGTTATCATTCGGCAGAATGTGTGGTCTAAATCAGTAGGTCTTTTGCACTATGTCTGCTAATGACAACTGCTACGCAGCTCAAATACCTCCCGAATTCCAATAATAGTTATTAAAATTCATCGTCATCATGAAAACACTGGTTCAGATTGGCTCAATCTGCAATTGAGGTTTGATGCATCAATACAAATGTTACGAAATCGATCATTATTACAGTTTCTTCCTTATTACACAGATAAGACTGCACAACAGAACCAAAAAAATCGCATTTGAATCAACCTGAGGCTTAGAAATTGTTATGTTGCAATGTTTGCCAAGCATTCTTTAAAAACCCAACTGTTAAACTTCATGTAATAGCAAATGAGTACAGCTGCAATGTCACAACTTTTCCAATAGGGGACAGGCATGGCACTTTCCAAACCTCGCAATTCCCTGAGGCCAGACTATCATCTGGATTCCTTTAACTCATTGCATACTTTCAAATCACAAACAACCACTTGCTGGGAATTATCAGATGATATATATATATATATATATAACATTATTGAAACTCTTTGGAAATACTTAATACATATTTATGTTGAATTATAGAGGCAAAACATCATGAAATATCTCCAATAATTTTTTTTACACAATTCTAACAATGAATCGTATTTTCATCAGCGTGAGTTCAGCCAGGAGTACACCTGCTTTTCATTCTTTTTAGACCATTCTGTTATTCATAGGCCCATATATCTTCCAAAAAGAAAAGGACTTGAAGCCAACCTGCGTGCAGTTTCTTCCTCATGAAGATGGACTTTAAGAATCCCGACGTATGGCAATACCTCTTAAAGAATTTCTAAGTGCCTGGGGGAAAAATAATAGTTACTGTGGTCCTGTTCACTGTTCCAATGGCAGATACAGTAATGTGTTTTTTAAGGACAGCTGCATGAAGAAGTGCATCCAAGGTATTTTGTTTCCTCTCATGAAATCTGAAAATTCACAGCAAAATGATTGTGAGTTTAGAGATGAGGCGGTTTGGCTGTGTACAAAAGCAGAGGTAGACCTCTGTAAGGCAGAAGAAATGAGAAACCAAAAACTCCAGAACTCCGTGAGACTTCCCGAACGTGCATGCAAACCAGGAAAAACCTCACTTAATCCATCCTGCGTGCTATTCTGTAATGAACAGTTACACAGTATTTTGTGGATTGCGCAATGTTTCTGATGAATTACTCTGAGTTCAGTCTTCTCCTGTGAGATCAGAGATGTGTCCTGTGGCCTCCTGTAGTGTCCTGTACATGAGCTGCACCCTCTGTCAGAGGGGCGGAGATGAAAAGAAATCATTCCCTTATGTCATTTGGTGTGGCGCTTCGAGCATTTCCATTAGGAAAGTGTCGATGGGTGTGTCTCCGATTAACTTGAAAAAGAAGAGATGTTCAAGACACTTCAAGCCGATGGAGCGCAGGGCAGGCAGACGCAGTAACAGCTTGGCAAATCTGTCCGTGAAACAATGGGTGTCAGTGTTTAGATGAGCACAGTGTAATACTTCAGCAGGTTTTTTTTTTATAATAATAAAGTTTGAGGTCAGTAAGTTATTTTTTAAAGAAATTAAAACTTGTATTCAGCAAGGAAACATGATATTGATCAAAAGTGACAGTACAGTACAGTTCTGTTTCAAATAAATACTGTTCGTTTGAGCTTTATGCTAATCAAAGAATCCTGGAAAAATGTATCAAAGTTTCCACAAAATGTTATTTGAGCAGCAAATCAGCATATCAGAATGATTTCTAAAGGATCATGTGACGCTGGCATAGACTGGTGTAATGGATGCTGAAAATTAAGCTTCGCAATCACAAGAATAAATTATATTTTAAAATATATTCAATTAGAAAATAGTTATCTTAAATTATATTATTTCACAATTACTGTTTTTTCTGTAATCAAATAAATGCAGCTTTAATGAGCACTTAAAAAAAGAGTCTGAACGGTAGTGTAAAAGAGATCTAATAAGCATGTATTTATTGTAGGTAAAATGGACTTTTACTATATGCACGAAAATGGGTTGTAAATGTTGCTGACTTTAAATGAAATTGAAAACTATCTCATGTTCACTGTGAATCCAGATAGACCTCTGTTAAATCTCTGTAGCATTCATTTTGTTCTGTGCTATTACTTTCATTTTTATATGCAAGTGAAATAATAAAGGATACATAAGCACGTGTGAGATGAAAAATAAGTGTGTGTGTGTGTGTGTGTGTGTACCTTCCAGGCTGATCGGGATATTTGTGCTTACAGTAGGCCTCTAGAGATGCATACACTCTTTCCCTTAATGCCTCCACCTCTGATGGATTAGACAGTCCTTTTGAATCTAAGAGCAAAAGGATGGATTGAAGGATGATAGACAGCAAAGCAATGACAAAAAAGAAAAAGGTTATGTTAACGTTTCATTCTGGGCCACTTTATTAGATGCTACACTACTATTCAGAAGTTGGGGGTCTTCTTTTCTTTAAATTACTGCATTTATTCACTAAGGATGCAGTAAATTCATCAACAGTGACAATAAAGATACTTAAAATGCTAAAAAAAAAAAAATCTATTTCAAATAAATGCGGTTCTTTTGATCTTTCTAGTCATGAAAAGAATCCTGAAAAACATATATTAGATCATCATGGTTTACGGTTTTCAACAGTAATAATATTAAGAATTGTTTCTTGAGCACCAAAAAGACGTCTTTCAAAAGCATTAATAAATCAACCCTAAACCTTTGAACAGTGGTGTACATTTGTGTGATGTGCAAACATATCTTGTCTTGTGGCTGATGGGTTTTGCTATAACTTCAAGGCTGAATCAATGACTTTAGGCTGTAGATAAAGACATTTCAGAAATCAAAAACAAGGCAAATCGCCAACTAAAAATGTTCTTCACATACTGCACATCTAAAGAGAAGATGTTGGGCATATTATATTTGGCAAAGTCCACAGCATCACTTAACATATCTCCATGCAATGCAGTTGAACTGACCTTCCAGTATAGTCTCCAGTATGATGAAATGGAAAATCAACAGTGATTTTTAACTTTCTAGACTGGACTGCCGACATTTTTACACACCAAAATGACAATTTTTATTATTCGGGGATAAACACTGAGGTCACATAACAACAATGTTGTCACAATGTTGCACTAATTTAGTGTTTGATTTTTGTTAAAGAAAGCAATACTCGGGACATACTGCTTTCTATAAGCTCGCTATACCGTGGTTTACAGTCATAGGAATCTCATTTACTCTTTCTGGCTTTATTCCAACACATTTTTTTTAGGAATTTGCCAAAACAAATAGCAAGGTAGGTTAATCAAACTGAAGTGGCATTTTAAACGCACTTGCGTAAGAGTGCTGTGTGCACATGTGTTTGTCTAAGTATACATTACTGTACCTGGATTGAACAGAACAATGGCCCGCAGGCATCCAAGTTCAGTCTTGTCCATTTGCATGTCTCTCATCTTCGACACAAGCTCCGTCAGCACTCTGTAAAAAAAAGGGCAAAAATCTTTACGTTCACAGGCAACACGACCAAGCTGATTAATTGCAAATTCATGTTCTCCAATATACCCCTAAAAATGTCAGGAAATATTCTGTAACGTATTAAACATGCCCAGTGAGTCATCGCTCCACCTTTATATTTAGTTTTCATATTGCCTTGAAAATCAAAGTCATTATGTCTTATAAGACACATTCATCTCTACTGCCGACGGACCGGGCAGCATATCTTTCATTAGTGAGGACACCAGCATATCTCACACTGCCAGTGAAACATTATCACAGCGCTACATAAAACTGCCATATGGCTTAATGTAAAAATGACATCAATCAAGAGTAAGATGTGGAGGACACTTTCATGATGCAGCGTCTAATATCATTATGGAGGTTATTTTCAAAAATTCATGTGTGCATGACCTACGGCTGTCACAAATCTTCCACATGGTGTACCGTGAAGACACTGAAGGGTCTCCTAGAAGATCACAAGACCATACCCTCCATAAACTGAATGCTGACATTGAATTTAGTTAGGATAGTTCACCCAAAGTGAAAATTTGATAATCAATTATGTCGTTCCAAACCTGTATGACTTCTCTTTTCTGTGAAACACAAAAGCAGATGTTTAGGAATATGTTGTGGCTGCTCTTTTCCATATAGTTAAAGTGAATGGGGACTGGAGGTATCAAGCTCCAAAATGACAAAAAGAAAATAAAAGATACACGAAAGACAAAAAGATACATGAAAGTATCATAAAAGCTATTAATAACACTCAAACACTATAATCCACATCTTATAAAGCCCTTAAAAATAAATAAATAAAAGGTTTGTGTGAAAAAGACACAAAGTTACATTCAGTCAAATGGCACCATATTTGACTTGAGATTTTCAGTGAATTAATGGCTTAAATTTTGGTCTGTCCCTCACACAAAACTATCCTACGGCTTCAGATGATTTGGAATATAGTCAGTGAGCAAAGAGCTTGTAACAGCAGTGCCCACCCACTTTTTCATCTGTATTTTTCTTATTCATTTTTCCCATATGGATTTTTAAAAGAACCAATCCAACCAGCTAGAAGGTGAATCACAACATTACAAATGTAATGAGTTTTTTCAAGAAACCTACCTGCAAAGCTACCTGAAAAACTATGCACAAGTGCACCTAGGGCAAAAACTGCTTTAAACACAAAGGATGGTCACCAAATGTTGATTTAATTTAGTAAATATAAGTTCATTGATAAAGAACATCCTTGTGCAAGCAAAAATCTCACTGGATTATTACAGTTAATGGCTAAATGAATGTTTGGAAATTTTGGAAACTGATATTTCCAACTGCCACACTACAGCAAAAGACAACTGACTTAAAAACATTTTTAACCGATGAAAATACGAGAGGCCTAAGACTTTTTCACAGTACTGTATATATACTGTGTGTATATATATATATATATATATATGTATATATATATACATATATAGGACCCTATTATGACACTACAGAGTTTTTGGTGCAATTTGCTTGTTTCAGTTCTCTGATTTATGGAGGTTTCTCTACAAAATCATGTGTAATGTATAGTTTTATAACAGGAATTCAGCTGTTAAACATGATTATTTAAATCAAAACCAACAAAAGAGCAATAATATGCAAGTGCTATATTAGTATATTATTATAGTGTTATATTTCAATTTCACAAAGAAACATGCAGTATTTTGTCCAAGCAATAATAAAAGGACACATTTAATTTATAATTTGTCTTAAATCTAATTTTGTAAAAATTTTTTTAAAAAAAACGTGAATCGAATCGTGAAATCAAAATCGTGAATCGAATCGTGAGTTGAGTGAATCGTTACATCCCTATTTAAAAGACATGTTGAAATAAAACCATGCAACTAGTGGCTTCAAGAAAAGCATATGCGATCGATTAACAACCTCGTAGCTCACATTCAGTCTGTCTTCAACGGTTTACAAGTTATGGTTAAAAATCAGTTCCCCTAGGAAGAAAATGAATGGTATTTTTACTTAAGATTTTTATTTTTATACTTTTACTTGTATACTTTTTGGAGCTTTAAGGTGGTATTTTTGCCATTTGTAACATTGACAGTCCCTCGCCCCATTTACTTTCATTACAGTAAAAAGAACAGCCAAGATATTCTTCAGAAATTCACCTTTTGTGTTCCTCAGAAGAAAGAAAATCCTACATCTCTGAAAACTAACATTTACTAACCTGTCAAAGATGGCTCCCACACCGGCAGTGTGTGCACTCTCTCTATGGACGTGAAGGCCTGTGGCTAATAATATCCCATCTTTCACAGCTATAGAACGATGTGAAAAAGAGGCGATCAGGAGTTCATTCCACCCTAGCAACAGAGGACAGAAGCACAAAAGCACATTGATAACCGAACAAACAAACAAAGGTAGCAGGAAAGAGAGCAACATGTGTATCTGTATCTGTGCATGTGGTGGCTTTGTCTGTTGCGTTTGTTTACTCTTCTAGCTCAATATCAACTTACTGTAAGTTGTATTTTCTTAAACAATATTGAGTTTTAATGAGAACATTTCACAGTTTCATACGCTGCGATCCCATTTCAGAGGCTCTGAATAAAACGCACTGAATAGAGTTTGATTGTCCTCAGGCAACCTACAGCCTAAGGAAATAAATGCAACATGTGAACGGCGAGAACAATCCAGCCTCTTATTCTCCCTCCGTCTATGTTGAAGCCATCATCCTTAACAGAATAAGGACACTCACTCCAAGATAATGAGATGGAATTCCTTCTTTAATCGATGCTGTGGCCCGAGGCTGGATCAAATGTATCTCTGAATCCATATAAATGCTTCTGGAATAGACTATAATGTCACATAACCGTAAACATACTCATTTCATTAGTTGATGCTGTTTTGAGCTGTAACTCCATAGCTGGAAGACTAGATGTACAGCACACGGGTCACATCAGGTCGATTTCTGCAGGACTCAAACAAAAGTGGTCTGTGTTTTTTTTAGTGACGCACCTGCTCTCAGGAGGATGACTTGATCGTCCAGCGGGAGATCAGAAAAGTGAGGTATCCGCTTGGCCCACTCCACTAAGGTAAAGAGTTGCTTGTCAGCTGCTTGGCAGATGTTTGTTACAGGGTCGTTAGGCTGGAGAGAAAGAGAGAGAAAGAGAGAGAGAGAGAGAAAGCGGGGTGAACTCTTTGGCAATATAGCTTTCATGGATATATACAAAAGAAAAGAAAAATACAAATGAGTTCTCTTTTGTCAGTTCTCTTTTCTCAGTTGGTTCTCTTAGACAGCTATGGAGAGCAAACTTTTGCTTTTGGCTCCTGATTCTCAGATTTTCTCCTTGGAAAAAGACCCTAGTGATCTCCTAATTTCAGAAAAGATCTCAACAATGTCTCATACTGCCAAGATACCAGCATATGCAGAAAGCCTCTATATGAACAAACAAACTAAAACATTTCTCAATAAATTAAACTAAATGATCCACATTAATTTCATTTGATGTCATTTTCATTAGAAATTTCTTAGAAACATTTGATAATTAATGTCTTATTGCAAAGAAATAAGAAAGTTGTTGTACATTTTCATTCAAATGTAACAACTTTTGTGAGAATGGGGAAGATATTGTATTGGTTAACATACATAACATAGCACTTATATATTACTGTTTAAAAGTTGTTTTTTTTTTAAGAAATTAATACTTTCATTCAGCAAGGATGTATTAAACTGATCAAAAGTGATAGCAAAAGCAAATACATTTATAATGTTACGAAATATTTCTATTTGAAATAAATGCTGTTCTTTTCAACTTTTTATTCATCAGCAAATCCTGAAAAAAAGTTTTTTTAACATAGATTAGAATGATTTCTGAAGGATCATGTGACACTGACTGTAGACTGGAGTAATGGCTGCTGAAAATGGCAGCTTTGCCATAACAGGAATAAATTAAACTTTAAAATATATTCAAACACAAAACATTTATTTTAAATTGTAGTAATATTCCACAATATTATTGTTTTGACTGTATTTTTAACCAAATAAATGCAGCTTTGGTAAGTATAAGAGAATTATTTCAAAAGCAGTAAACAATCTTTTAACCCCAAACTTTTGAGCAGTAGTGTATTTCTACACAAATATGCTTTTGGACATATAAAACTTTTAATGAGGGCACAATAACAAACAATGCACTTTATGTTATTTGCATTCAGCATAAATATCACCAAGAGAAACTCGGCTGTCAAACTCATTGATGCGAGTGGAAAATGAGCAGATATCTTGTGGGAAGTCTTGTGGAAATCATTCCTGTCATTTGCCCCCAATGGAATATTTTTTATTTTCGGTTTAACTCTTGCTCTCTAAGAGCCTTTCCTTCTGCTTGAGTAACCCAAACTCTCCAGCCCAGAATCAATCAGAACAAGCACTCGTGAACCAGCAGCCTGGCATGTCAGAGCACTCTGTGCGTGTTCTGCTGTTGTCATGGAGCAAATTCTGTCCCAGTAGGATCCCGAAATCACATCATCATCATCATCCACCCAGAGCGAAAAGCTCTTTCATTTTAGTGGTAAAGTAGACTTTATCACTCTTTTACAAAGAGCACGTATGACAGAAATAATATACTTTAACACATTATACTTAAGAACTGTACTCATCCAGAGTGAGCAAAAGGGCTGGCAGAATCACTCTGGACCCCTCACATCCAGCACACTCCCTCTTTGAACTGTTGCCATCTGGTCGACGCTACAGAGCACTGAGCATCAGAACGACCAGACACAGGAACAGTTTCTTCCCTCAGGCAATCCATCTCATGAACACTTAACAATAACTGTGGAACACAAACTATTTATTCACTCATACACTTATCTAACACACATACTCAGTCTACACCTCAAATTTGCACATAATATACCTGTACATACAAAACTGTCTATTGTAATATACCTGCACATACAACTGTCAATTTATATATTTTTACTCCTTATTTACTTGTTCTATTTTTTATTATCTGTGTTTTTTGTTCTGTCACTGTCATTCTGTTACACTGTGGAAGCTTCTGTCACGAAAACAAATTCCTCGTATGTGTAAACATACCTGGCAATAAAGCTCATTCTGATTCTGATTCTGATTAAAGTCCCCATGAAATCTTTTTGGCTTTTAGTATGAGGGTCAAAGACGAAAAAGGGTTTAAGCATATGTCAGGCTTGTGTTGTGTTTTGTTCCCCATGTGCTCCCTGTGTCCCAGTGTTTAGCCCTTTTTTGGTTATGTTCCTGTCCTGATTATTTCATTTAGTTCATTAGTCTCCACCTGTGTTTGTTTATTTGATTCAGGTGCGTTTAATTTACTCCCTCGTTATGTCTTGTATTTAAAGTGTAGTCTGCCGGATGTTTCATTGTCGAGTCTGAATGTCGTTACCTGTTTCCTACCTGTGTCCCTGATTCCGTGTAAAAGAATAAAGTATATATCATCGTGAATTCTCCTCCGTCTCCTCGCTCCTCACAATAGGGAGCGTGACAATTTATCAGTAAGGATTTTTTACTCATTTAAAACACAATAAAATTTAATATGCTCTCTTGTTCTTTTATATATTTTAATATGTACATGTTAGAATAAGCATGTTTGAATTTTTACGTAAATATTGTGTTACACTGAATGACAATGTAACATTATTTCAACCAAATTTTGATATGTTATCCTCCAAAAACTTATTTGAAACCTTAAAAGTAGACCCTTTACTTGCATTTAATGTGCTTACTATGGACATAAAATCACTTTTGTACATTTCTTTTGATGCGGACATCTTAACGTCTTTGTCACATACTCCGTCTGCAGTGCGTATGCGGTCCGAGTGCGTTACTTATGCGGTGCAGAAGCAGCACGGACTCATTGTGCTATTACACAGGACGCGTTTGCAGTCCGCTCATGATCCGCGGCTGTTTAACACAAACACAACATTTATCCATTATTTTGATTTCAAATCCAAACATAGTTAGCCTATACTGAAAGTGTTTTTTTCAGCATTGTGATCCTCTTTTATCACAGTACAGTTACACAATCTTTCAGACATATCACGTTTAAACGATCGCTGCACTGCTGCAGACGCGCCGCACCTGGAACGCACTGACGGACCGCAACCGCGTGCAGTGTGAAAGCTCTAATCCGTTAACATGGGTGCGTAAAAAAAAACCCTACACTATTTATACACACTAAAGTTGAAACCCAGTCACTTGTTCACAGTTTACTGTATGGCGAATGGCACGTAGTGAACTATATAATACGCATATGCATGAGTCGCGAGGACCAAAAAAACGTATCGGGCCCATTTGAATTCTACACAGAATGCTATATTTTGTAGCGATATGGACGAGATTAGGAGGAGAAAGAGTTAGACAGTCTCCATATTAGAAACAGCACTGATGAGTCGAAGAGATAAGACCGGTGCCATTCCCCAATATATCACACACGTTATAAACTACACATCCTCAGCATCATTATTATCACTGTTTCACTATAACTAATAACAGTTTCATATTGAATCTAAAGGGGTAAGCCATAAGCTGTCAAATGCGGCTTTATAGAGCTCAACAGCACTAGCCCAAGCTGTGATATAAACAAAATATTAAATGCAATCACTGAAATTTTATGTGCTTTTTAATTTAAGTAGGAGTTACATTCACATGTAATTTCAAAATGACTTAGTGTCTTTGAAATTTGGTTAAAGTCTACTTTCAAGAGCACTAAGGTAAACTAAATTGTCATTTCTATTGAAACATTTATGTCATGTATTTAAATATATTTTCAAATATAATTTCGCATATGTAAAGATTAAGTTGTAATGTAGTAAATATGCCAAGCTCTGTCATGAAACTGTAGATGGCGCAGGCTGATAGGTCGTTAACGCAAACTGATGATGTTCATAACTACTTGGCACAAGCTGACTGGTTCATGTTGCATACGCAGCCAATAGGCTTGCTGCTTTACATTTAAATCGCTGGCTAGTTTCATAGTTCCTCTGAAACCCTCCACCTTCCCCAGCTCCACCTGTATAGATCTGCTACGGGTTATTATATATGCTATTTGTGCAGCAGCAGTATGTCTTAAATACTCACAGCACTAAACGATCGCTGCACTGCTGCAGACGCGCCGCACCTGGAACGCACTGACGGACCGCAACCGCGTGCAGTGTGAAAGCTCTAATCCGTTAACATGGGTGCGTAAAAAAAAACCGCAACGCACACTGCAGATGGAGTATGTGTGAAACAGGCGTTAAGGTCATCTATAAGCTAGTGTGCTCCAAAACATTGACAACATTCACATTTAGAAAATGTAAGCATTCAAAACTTAGTCTCTCATTTCCAGCAAAATGGATCAACGATTTTGATGACATCACCCAACTTCTGTCCAAATAAATGCTCTCTAGAATCTAAAGCCCCC